TGGATGAATAAACATAATAAATATTAAATAAAATAACATAAAAAAAACTTCTTGAACTTAAATTCTTATACTAAATTCTTAAAAATACCATCATATAATTATTTTTTAATAATATTATCTAGTATATAACTTACAAATTATGCCTCTAACCACTATTTAAATAATTTTTTTTTAATTAACATTGTATATCTGGTTGTATATATTTCTATGTTAATTTATTGTATTTGTTCTCATTATAATATATATATATATATATATATATATATATATATATATATATATATATATATATATATAAGAAATACTGGATATTATTGACTGTCGATATAACAAACAACACAGTTATTAGGGTTGCAGTCAGAAATATTGGCCGGATGTTAAAAAACATCCCGGCCAATATTTCTGACTGCAACCTAATAACATCCGGCCAATATTTCTGACTGCAACCCTAATAAACTGTGTTGTTTGTATATATATATATATTAATATATATATATATATATATATATATATTGTCATATTTCTTCTTTCCCAACCAAAGAAAAATAAATAAAAAGATCCATCGGAATAAAATTTTGAGATATCAGTATAAACAAATTGTATGTAGTAATTTAAGATAAGATTTAGTGTAGATAAAAATAAAAATTTGTTTCCGTTTCCAACAAAATTAACAAAAAAAACCCTTTGTTTAGAATTAGAAGACATTTTACCTGTAAGTTAATCTTTTCATTGTTTGTATAATCCAGTATTAAATGACCATATTCTAATCTTTTGAAATATGTTTAAATTGTGTATTGACAAATCCAATTTTAAAGTAAGCTATTTAGTTTTTCTCTGAAACAGAAATTAGGCTTTTACATAATCATGGTAAACACAATTTGAGCTTTTGATTGGATGGTCGTTTTTTGAATAGGAATTTGTGAGCCAATTAGGATGACCGGAGAAGTTAGTGATAATTTGGTCATCGAATGAAACAGTCGTTTGTCTCAAGATAGGATGTGGTTCGTGAGTTTGGATACCTGCATTGTGAAAAGAAGTGAATAGTGTTGCAGAAGGAGATAACAAGGATTAAAAGAGGTCCGGGTATCTACCGTGGGCATTTTGTGAATTATATATGAAAGTATGTATGAATTATATATGAATTATATATGAAAGTTGACAAAAGGAGCTCCTTGTGTCATAAACAAGTAGCTGAGTTTTTTGGAGAAGTGAGTCAGGTGTTTTGTGCAGTCTGCAGAAGGTTTGCAGAGACGTTAGGAAGAAGCCGAGGTGTCAAAGAGGAGATATCACATCGTTGAGGAGACTGGACTTTTCTGGGTATGTTCCAACATACAATTCAACAAGAAAAAAGCTGTAAGTGTTTTGTACAATTGAAATTGGTATCTGTGAAGGATCTGTGTTGACATCATGGTCAGTATCATTCAAATTTAAAGAAATGAGTTTTGTTTTTGAATAATCAAAAGTTTAAAGTTGTGTTGTTTTTTATTTCAAGTAAAGGAAAGTTTAAGTAAAATTGGTTTTCACTTAATATAAATTTATGTAGATTTAAAATCTTATTATTATAAAAATTTCATTTATTTTCTTGTATGCTGATTGATAAGATAACGGCTGAATTTGATAATTGTTTTTATTCGTTCATATAAAATAAAGAATACGAAATTTTGTGTAATATAATATTTTCTTTTATTATCATCTTTCTTCTCTATCCCGATAAAGGACAACTAAAAAATCTTTGAATCCATCGAACACAGGTAATATAAGGAGTTTTATTTTGCATTTGATAACAATTAAGTTATATTTTTTTTGGTTCAATAAACTAAGATCAAAGTCAAAATAAACAATCATAACAATATATATATATATATATATATATATATATATATATATATATATGTGTGTGTGTGTGTGTGTGTGTGTGTGTGTGTGTTTTACCTGTACAAACTTATGGAGCAGAGACTTTAACACTCACGCAAAAATCTGCGAATAAACTTAGAGTTACACAACGAGCCATGGAACGTGCAATGCTGAACGTGAGCCTTCGAGACCACATAACAAACCAACAAATCAGGCGAAGATCAGGAGTTCAAGACGTCATCGAAAGAACCACGACGCTTAAGTGGAACTGGGCAGGGCACTTAGCCAGAACACAAGATGGACGGTGGACAAGACGTATTATGGAATGGAGGCCCAGAAATTATAAAAGAAGCCGAGGACGACCACCGACTAGATGGACCGATGACATTAAACGTGTAGCGGGAAACTGGCTACAAGCGGCCCAGTGTAGAGAACCCTGGAAAGAACTGAGGGAGGCCTATGTCCAGCAGTGGACGCGATTGGCTGATTGATGATGATGACCATTATCTTACATATGTAATGGTTTCACAGATTCACTCCCATACAAATTTCCAACGCCGACCGTGCATATAGAAGTATAACTTCAAAAATGTCGAAACTGACCATACTTTGTTATTTTGATTTTTGAAATGTGTTATAATTTTTTACTTGTAGAATAGTAATAGAATCTAAATCAACAACAGAGAAATGTTACGTTTAATTCTCATCGACCATCATTCAATTATAATATGACAATTGATTAAAGTTTGCAGCAGATCGTTTCTATTTAAGGCTGTTTTATCGGTACACCAAAATTTTTTCTCTGTTATTTACCGACGAAATGTCTCGAAATTTGGACATGTTATACGAAATTATGTTGCCTTTAAACTGATGGTTTTACTTTTTTTATTTTTTTGAATTTTCTGTTGAAAAATTGGATTATACTGTTTAACGTTCTATATAACCAAACTTTTCACGCCCATCAGTTGAAAGAGTTTTTTTTTCTGTAATCGTTGATTCTTTTTTCACCTTTCTGTGTCCAGTAATAATCGAGAAAAGCGTATTCAACTTTGAAGAAAATTGCTAAATACTGAAATCTAATAGTGAAACGTGTTCCTCATCATTGTCGCTGAGCTTGATCGTTATCGCATTAGTGACGTCAAATCTCATGAGCGTACGGTACGGTCTTATTTTTGTTTCTCTATGGGTACGGCCAGTTAGTTCGCTTGAATTAGAATCCATTTTAGTTCTTTCATTCTTGTATTTTCTTTATCAACTTGCTTAGTTTTTACAGTTTACAGTATTCTTATTTATTTTGAAAACATTGAAATTATTTAGTTTACGTGTATGTTAAGTAATATATTATTAGTTTAGTGGTATAAGTTAAAAGTTCTTTAGTTTACGCGTATTTTTAAGTATTACATTAGGTTATTGATATAAGTTATAAGAGACAAGATAAAAAATGAGTCCCAGTAAACGTCCTATGTCAAGGAAAAGGAGAGCAATTGCACTGCTTTAGTATTTATTATTTATATTACAACCGTTTTTAAAAGCTTTTATTTAACTTATAATATATATATATATATATATATATATATATATATATATATATATATATATATATATATATTATATATCTATTCAAGGTTTGAATAATCATTCTCCATTTTCATGCAACTTTTCTAATATGGAGATTATCAAAGAAAAAATGGACGGATTGATAAGTACATCGACTTTTAAATGTCAAATGTGGAATATTGAAAAGGAGATAGCAACATAGGATTCTGGTAACAATTCACTGAACTTGAATGGTTCTGGTTATTCAGACATACAGCAGCACGCTGCATTAAATATACCTGTGATTTCCTACAGGCAGTATGCAAAACATACGGAAACAGTTGCAGATATCATCGGCCAAACACTTTGTGATTCCTTAGAAGAGGCTGGACGGGAGGAATTAGCTTTAGCCAAAGAAATTGGTGAAGTAGATTCCGACGGAAATGGGTTAATAACCGTTATAGCTGATGGTGCTTGGTCAAAAAGATCGTATAAAGTAAACTACGATGCTTCTTCAGGTGTAGTACCTGACGTTGTAAAATTTATTAAATTAGTACGCCTTTGATGGATAGGACATGTAATTAGGCGAGATGAAGATGAAACGATCAGAAAAATTTTCGACCGAAGAGGACCAGTGGGAAGACGATCCAGAGGAAGACCAAAACTTAGGTATCAAGATAACATAGAGGATGATCTAAAATCCATCGGAGTTAAAGCATGGAGAAAGTTGCCAGAGGCAGGGCGAATGGAAGATTGTTCTGAAGAAGCCTTTGGCTCATGACGAGCTGTAATGCCACTGATATGATGAAATAACTATCCACGATTTGTGTTTTATTCATCAATTGGATACTTTTCTTATGTAACTGCAACCTATAAATATATTAAAATAATGTATATTCCATTCAGAGAACATTTTTCTCGCAGTGCGTCGCCTCGAAATACTTGCCAGATAAATACATTTACTATTATGATGGTTTCGCAGGTACCAATTTTTTATAGATAAATAAAAATATTTTTTGTTTAATTTTTACTACGCTAATATCAGTTTTCTCTAACAAATATTAACAAAATATTAATTATATATTAATATTAATATAACAAAATTTAAATTTATTATAAATAAACACCATGGTGTTTTTTGCAGTCACGTTTCACAAATTTTTATTTAATACTATGTTTAGCTAAGACATATAAATTAAAAATGTGATTAATTCTTTTTAAAACATTATCTACGATAATTAATCTAAAAAAAAGTATTCCGACAAAACTAATTTGAATGGAGAATAATGCATTTATTTTAAACAACCCGTGGGCCGGCGCCACTGAATAAACATCCAAACTATTAGGAGGTCACGTAGGGTCTGACATAGCAGTGTAGAAAAGTAAGTGATACGCCCACTTCAAATCGCAGTATGCTATAACTGCGAAAACAGCCTTAACCAATGAACGTTGTGTGTCCTCATTATAAGACATATCCTGGTTTCCGGAAACGGACCAGACTATTCATTTTTTGATTCACATTTCGTAAGGCAAGACAACGTCTGTCGAGTCAGCTTGTATTTGATAAAAGTAGGCATTTTTTTTTATTTATTTTTTTTTTTTTATTTCAGACAACATGACAATTGCTGATTTTTATAAAGGAAAGAATGTATTCATTACCGGAGGAACAGGATTTTTGGGACAGGCCTTGATAGAGAAACTTTTAAGATCATGTCCAGACGTAGGAACAATATATTTGTTGCTAAGATCTAAAAAGAACGACACAGCTCGCCAAAGGATTGAAAAACTTAAAAACTTACCAGTAAGTATATTAGGATATTTTCTAGGTGGTTTAAATATTTTTTGGACTATAGTTAAGGTCTAGGAATTCTGTACAATAATATTTTTATTATACTATATTCTTGTGGTTTGCATTTATTGTTTTGTTTGTTTTTTTTTTCAAATATATATTTTGGTCAAACTTAGACCTACAAAGTATCATGTTACAAAATATCAACTTTAAAGCAAAAATCTACTATATATTGTCTCAAAGTGACCTGTCTGTACAGGGTAAATGCATAACATCGATGCCATATTTCTTTGCAAAGTTCTATTAAAGTAAACGTCACTTATTACTACTTAGCCTAAGCCATATTTTGTGTTGAGGGTAGCTTAAGTACTAATGCCCACTAAATGCCCGCTTCCTTCTGTCGGTGGTTCTCAAACATAAATAATATTTGCTACAACATACTTGGGTTAAATTAAAATAAAATAGAAATTAAGAAATGCCTTTTATTTATGTTACACAAGCAGTTATTTTTTAATTCTACAATATGTGCTAGCGATACAAACCATTGGTTTATAGATTAAAATAAAATCGAATAAAATAAAACTAAAATATAAAGAAACATTGTATTTATGTATTGTTCCGTTCAAAAGTTAAGGAGGGAAGGACTTTTATAAAGCGCACTGTATATGTTTGCAGCAACAAAACGTAGAAATATCCGAAAATAAAACTAATAAATAAGTTGAAAATAAAAGAAGTCATTGTATTTAATTTCGTGTGTAAGTAATCGTGATTGTACACCATTATATTTAGTTCCTTTTTCTGCCAATCGCTGTCACATTTATATATATATATATATATATTCCTCTTTTAATCCTTGTTATCTCCTTCTGCAACACTATTCACTTCTTTTCACAATGCAGGTATCCAAACTCACGAACCACATCCTATCTTGAGACAAACGACTGTTTCCTTCGATGACCAAATTATCACTAACTTCTCCGGTCATCCTAATTGGCTCACAAATTCCTATTCAAAAAACGACCATCCAATCAAAAGCTCAAATTGTGTTTACCATGATTATGGAAAAGCCTAATTTCTAAAGCCTAAATATAATGGTACACCATTATATTTAGTTCCTTTTTCTGCCAATCGCTGTCACATTTATATATATATATATATATATATATATATATATATATATATAAATATATATATATATATATATATATATATTGTTCTTGAACAGGTTCTTGAACTCCTAAGTGGAGCATAGAGCTTCAGTGAAAACGCGCCATCGGGTTCTATTTTGCGCTAAGGCCTTCACCTCATTCCAAGACTTTCCTTGTTTTCTTATCTCGTCCATGATGGATCTTCTCCAAGTTTGTACTGGGCGACCTTTTTTTCGTTTTCCTTGGGGATTCCACTCTAGGGCAGTCTTTGCAATACTGGAGTTATTTTTTCGGAGTGTGTGACCGATCCAACCCCACTTTCTGGACTTTATTTCATTTACTACCCTCTTTTGTTTGGTCAGGTGTAGTAAATCTTCGTTTCTGGTGATGTTAGGCCAGAAAATACGAACAATTCTTCGTAGACATTTATTAACAAAGACCTGCAGTTTGTCTGTAAGGGTTTTTGTCGCTTTCCAGGTTTCACATCCGTAAAGTAGTACAGACATGACATTTGACTGGAATATGCGGATCTTTGTCCTCGTAGTGTAGTCTTCAGACCTCCAAACAGGGTTGAGCATGCTGAAAGCTTGTTGCGCTTTTCGTATCCTCATACGAATATCGTCTTCTGTACCTCCGCTTTCTGTTATGACACTTCCAAGATACGTAAAGTTTTCCACATTTTCAATCTGCATGTTATTAATGGTGAATAGCGTGTTGTTTCTTGCATTTATTCTCATGGATTTGGTTTTACCAAAATTGATTTTCAAACCTATTTTATTGGCTTCAGTGGAGAGTGTTTCCAATTGGTCAGCCACATCTTGGAACCTTTGTCCTAACAGGCAGATATCATCGGCGTATTCTAGATCGCTTAGGCGTGTGGTTAGCGTCCATTGTATCCCTCTTGTGTCAGAGTCTAGTTTGGAGAGAACATAGTCTAGAGCTATGTTAAAAAGAAACGGAGAAAGCACACATCCCTGTCTGACTCCAGTAAGTACGTCAAATTCGTCACTGTTGATCCCATTGTGTGTCACGCTGCATTTCGCTTCAGTGTACAGTAACTTTATAATGGAAATTATTTTATGCGGGATGTTTCTTAGCTCTAAAATTTTCCATATCGCATCATGAGATAAGCTGTCAAAAGCACGCTCGAAATCAACAAAAACCATGTATAGGGGTGTGTTCCATTCAACCGATTGTTCCATTATTAGCCTCACAGTATTAATGTGGTCTATGCAGGAGGATTCTGGTCTAAAGCCTACTTGATTAGCTCGAAATTCAACCTTGTTTGTTAATCTTTTAAGTGATCGTGAAGATTTTGTTATGGCGGTAAGCAAGGTTATTCCTCTCCAATTTTTGCATAGTGTGAGGTTGCCCTTTTTTGGAAGCTTAATAATGATGCCTTTTTTCCAGCCCGCTGGAATGCGGTTTGTTTCCCACACCTCTCGGATTATGGGGAGCAAAAGTTCAGCAGTTAGATGCGGATCAGTTTTAAGTATTTCGGCAGCAATGTTATCGATTCCCGGAGACTTGTTATTTTTCAGAGATTTGATAGCTGTTATTATCTCTGTTTTGGAAGGGGCGTCGCAAGATATACGCAAGTCTATATTTTGTGGATTTTCGACAATTTCATCTGCGTTGTCCCTGGGCGTGCCTAGCATCTCCTGAAAGTGCTCTTTTCATCTCTCTATTTGGTCATTTGTTGTAGTAAGTAATTTTCCTGTCTTGGATCTTACGACGTTTGAACAGTTGGGCCCACTTTTTGTTAGACGTCTAGTAATTTGGTATAGCTCTCTAGTTTTATTGTGTTGTGCAGCTATTTTGGCTTGTTTTGCCAGTTCTTCAGCCCATCTTCTTTTGTCTCTTCTTGCATTTCTTTTAACTGCTTTATTTATTGTTTCATATTCTTGTTGTCGGTTCGCTCTTTCTTCTACAGTTCTTGCTTGCAAAATATCTTTTTTTTGCTGTTTTCTTTCTTCGATAAGATTCCAAGTTTCATCTGATATCCATTTTTTTCTATGTTTCTCTTTTTTACCCAGTTTATCTTCAGCTATTTCTGTCAAAACATTTGCCAGATCTTCCCAGCTATTTACTTTACGTTCTCTTCTTTTGAGTTGAAGTTCCTCCCTAAACATGTGTCTTCCTGTAGCCGTTTTTAATTTGTCTAGATTGTATGTTGGTCTTTTGGTGTTTCGTGTGGTTTTGTTTTTTGCCATTTTGATTTTAATGGTACCGATTACAAGATGATGGTCACTTGCGATGTCTGCTCCTCTTTTGTTACGTACATCAAGAAGAGATGATCTCCATCTTTTTGATATGGCGATGTGGTCTATTTGATTTTCTCTTATATGACCTGGTGCAGTCCATGTAACCTTGTGAATATTTTTATGTGGGAAGATGGTTCCACCAATAACTGTCACATTTAGTTTCTGCTTAACTATCATCATCATTATTATCGTCACTGTCATCACTATCTCCGTTATTTATATTTGTAATAATTGGTTCGATATCATCCAACAAATTGTCAATTTCTCGCATTTTTTTTCTGTTGCTATTACGTGGTTTAGGTAGTTTTTCCATTTCTCTGGCGTAATGATCTGGTACGCTGCTGTAATTAAATTTCGCATTTCATCTTCTTTAAAATTCGCGTTGCGTCCAGCTATATACCGTTTCACTTCACTCCAAACCATTTCGATGGGATTGAGTTCACAGTGATAGGGTGGGAGCCTCAGAATCTTCACATTGTACTTTTTGGCAATATCTTCTATTATGTACCTGTCATATTTTGCTTTGAAGGCCTTGACTACATCAAGTAACTCGCACTTTAGGTAGTCTTCTTCAAAAACTAGGTCCTTTGACAGAAGCCATTCTTGAATAACTATTTTTTAGTGTTGAACTGTTGGGAATTTGTTCTGACTTTCTTCTATGATAGGAGGCATTGTTCATTACCACAACAGTTTTTTCTGGCAAATTTAGCATTCAGTTATTTTCGAACCAATCTTCGAAAGTCGGTCCATCCATTTCGTCGTGGTAGTCCTGAGTATTTTTCTTTGCAAAAACGTGAGCTCTGCTCCATCAACAAATGCACTGGTAGATCCTGCGTGCAATAAAATGAACCGTGCACCATAAGCTGTTGGAGCTTTTAATCCTGTTGTCAGACCACGAACAAAAGCATCGCGATGAGATGTAATTGTTTTATCAAACCATCATTTTTTCACACTGTACCCGATATTTACCCATGATTCTTCCAAATACATTATTTTGTATCCTTCTGCGCGGTATTTACGAATTCCGCGTAAATGACGATGACGCCACGAGATGATTTCTGGTTTTTCAATCAAAATTGAATTTCTGCCACGTTTTATAAACACAAAATCCATATCGCTTAGCAAGCGATGTAACGTGGCCCGTGAAAAGTTGGGCAAAGTTTCTTCGATACTTACAACAGCTAATATGTTTTTTATTGTTGGTGGTATGTTGTCACGAAAAAATTGATGAAACTATTCTACGAATTAGGCCCCTGACACCTTCAGCATTCGAAATGTGGTGTTACCGACGCATTTTGAAAATATCATGGATGGATCGCAAAACAAACGAACAAGTTCTCAAACAACTAGGAAAACAATGCGAAGTTTTAAATTCCATAAAGATCAGGGAAATTGGTATACTTGGGGCACATCATGAGAGGTGAAAAGTACGAACTACTAAGGAATATAATGCAGGGTAAAATCAAAGGTCAAAATCAAAGAGTGCAAATGGAATAATATCAAAACAGCAGTGCTGACAGCAGCAGCGTCCACCGTGGGAAACAAGAAAAAGAAGAGAAGAGGAACATGGTTTGATGACGAGTGCAGGCAAGCGATAGAAGAAA